CCGCCGCCGCCCCCGCCCCCGCCCCCTTTCCTCAGTCCCGGGGATTTTCTCCCCGTCTGCCAGCCTCGCCGCTTCCGACATTGCACGAAAGAGATGCACCCTGGAAGGGCAGATCGCGGGGGCACATCTTGTTGGGAGAAGAGGCCGCGTGTTTGGACCTTAGCGTGCCGGTTCACCTTGTCGCAGGCCTGGGGTAGATTTGATTCATCGGCCTTAGAGTGCCGCGTTCTCGCTAAATCTACCGATTTCTGCCTCTCTGGCTTCTCACACTCCCAAAAACGTTAAGCGGGTAGCTCTTGGGAAATTTGGTTTATCTGAGTGGACTTCAGGCTAGACGTGAGGGCGCCCCCCGGAAGGAGCATGGCCGCGTCCCCTCAGATCGATACCCCCCTGGAAGTGGAGGGCTGCCTAATAATGAAAGTGGAAAAGGACACAGACTGGACCTCGGAGCCCATGCTGGAAAGCGTAGACAGCTCTGAGTCGGAGACCTTTCGCAAAGGCTTCAGGCAGTTCTGTTACGAGGATGTAACTGGACCCCATGAAGCGTTCAGTAAACTCTGGGAACTTTGCTGCCGGTGGCTGAAGCCAGAAATGCGTTCCAAGGAACAGATCCTTGAGCTGCTGGTGATTGAGCAGTTTCTCACCATTTTGCCGGAGAAGATTCAGGCATGGGCGCAGAAGCAGTGCCCGGAAAGTGGAGAGGAGGCCGTGGCACTGGTCATACACTGGGAGAAGGAGACAGGACGACTAAGACAGCAGGTGAGGCGCTTTTCCACATTTTTTAATTTCAGACGAAAAGAATGGGAAAAGCAGGTGGGCAGGAATGTGCTGTAGGATATGCATAAGCCTGCATTATGGAAAGCCAAATGGTGCTCATGAAAAGACCTCTAAAGTGAGGTGTGATTCATGGGGTTTGACTTTTGCAGTTTAATTCATTCCCCAGCTACCACCTCCCCCAAAAAGACAGAAAAGGACTTATCCCAGGTCCCTCCCTAATCCTTCACTAGTCCAGTCCTTACTGTGAAATGCCCTCACGGCCATCATCCTTGTCACTCTTCTACAGTTTAACTAAAAATGACTTTGCATGCTCTTCTAGTTCTTTTTCAGAGGGCCCTTCCATTAACCTCCTGCAGTCCTGCGCAGGATGTGCATTTGTGTAAGGACCTGACTATCTAAGGGTTGCTGTGTTGGTTAAGGATAGACACTAGCTGTGGAGATTATTTTTTAAGTTTTTAACTCACTAGTGGATTTGTGTTCTGATAACTTTTCTTTCTTTGAGGACCTAATAGATTGAGAACGCAAATGTCTGTTCTAATAACAAAGAGGCTCTGTATTTCACTCCTGACAGATTTCCCTCGCCCCCACCCCACACCTGCTGTATATTAATAAGGATCACTCTCCTATTTTCTTACACCCAAACTATGGACAGTACTATTAACCCAATGACCTAAAGACTCTTGAGACCAGAGTCAGATTTCATTCTTTCTCACATCTTCTGGCCTTAGTAGACATCTTCCTCAGGGGAATGTATCCTGATCTGGGCCTCTTTTTTCCTCCTTTCCATTATGGTGTTATTGATTTTCCCAGGTTAGCAGTCCTGTGCACTCAGAGAAGCAAGTCTCTCTTGGAGCATCATGGGAAATAGAAGATTTTCAGCTAGAGCAGATGGAGACCCAACCCAGAATGGTGTCTCGCAATGAAGCTGGAAGCCTACACTCAGGACACCAGGCACTGTTGAGCCAGAAGAGAGAGCATCAGCCCTTACTCAGGAATGGTAAGAAGCAGAACACAAAGCATGCCCAGTGCGGATCACGGCAGATATCATGGTGGAGCCCTGATACCATGACTTGCTCAGAGTAGAGCTCCATTGGTACATATATTTGGGAACAACTTGAACATATGGAGAAAGAGACTTCAGTTGCTCCAGGATTTGGGAATATGTGTGTCATAAGTCAAAGGGTTTTTAAAGATGGGATCTAGGAAAATTTAGATTGCCCACGCTGACTTCAAGGTTTTGCCATATTGAAAATCTTAAGATATATATGTATTTTTGACTGATTATAAGCAACTTGAAAAGAGAAAATGTTGAGAAGGGAAAACATTTATTTTCAAAAACTGACTCAAAAATAAGGCATCACAGAAGTGAAATATGACATGATAAATAATTAGACAGCATAGGGAAGGGACCACTGGTGTTCACAGCTTCCCCAGACATTAGCGAATCAAGGCAAATATAAGGAAATGAACACCCTGACCTTCCTAGTAAACAGTGATCACTCCGTCCCCAGAGTGCCATGTCAGACCTAAAAGGGGAATGAAACACCACTGAACCTACAGTAAATAGACTTGAGTTTATATCTGTCTCTGCCCCTCTATCTGATCTTGGGAAAGTAATACAAAAGGGTCATGATTGCAAAGAGGAAGAGATTAGGCTCTAGAGGCAGACTACCGGGTCTCAAAACCTTAGCTCTGCCATTCTTTTGTGGCCTTAGCTTCTCAAACTTTCCATTCTCTTATCTGTAAATGAAATATAATAAGGTTGATTGTGTAGATTAAGAGAAGCATAGTAAAAGGATCAATAGTGCATAACAGTGTGCAGTAAATGTTAGTTTCCTTTTTTCCATAAGGAACCTTTATTTTTAAATTCCAAATCTGTTTGATTTAACCCCTCCTCAAAAGGCAAGATTCACTACTGTGCACCCCTATCTCCTTCCCCCCCAAAATCTATAACACGATAAGGTACACTGCAAATATTAAGGGTTTCTGATTTTTTCATCATCAAGGTTTCCTTTTACAGATCAATTAGAGGCACTCACTTTAGCAGATAGCTTAGTTGGATCAATTCATGGTGTTAAGGAATTCCCAGGGTGTTAAGAAATTCCTAAAGTGGAAATGTTTGTTGCAGTACTGGGAGAGTAGAAAAGGTATGGGATGGATATCTCATAAGGGGGAATTTATTCTAAGAAAAGGACCTACAATTTCAGCTGAGTCTAAAGGGAGGTTATGTTTCCAGTGAAGTGGTTCCATTTTTTTCTGGAAAATAGTGAATAAGGTTTGAGTTCTCAGTCACAGTAATATTTATTCTTGAAGTTTCCTCTAGATAGTAAGCTCTAGAGTAGGGGTTAGATTTGGCTTTATCTAAATTTATATAGCTACTTTTCACCTTTTGAGTAGTCCGTGTATTCAGTACTGTGTGTCTGTGTATGCCGTCCTCCTTAGGACAGCATATGCCCATAGCAGATTAGTATGAGAAATTGCAAAGTGGCAATTTATATGCCAAATCATGCTTGTTTTGTTTCACCTACAAAACTTTTAGTTTAGGGTTTTGTTTGTATTTTTTCTCAAGATTTAAGATTTTTTGAGATTTTTACATAAAAGTTCAGATTTCTGACTTCTCTTGGAAATATTAGGAGCTGTGCTATACTGTAGTTGCACAATGACACATCAGCTGGAGCTGAGCATTGGCTGTACCCTCTCAATAGGATATTGCTCATTAGTTCCCCATAATCCATACCTGACCATTTAATGATGTACTTACTTGCTCACTCCCAAAAAGCATCTGTGTTTACTGTGGTTTCAGGCATTGTTCTGAACACATTGAGAAAAGATCAATTCACATTTATTCATTTTTTATACATGCTTATTTCTGAAAAGGGGAAGCAGCATGAATTAAAGGATCAGAGCCTAGAACACTGTTTCTTTTTCTTCTTATAGCTCGGTCTTCTCCCTGGGTTCCTGCTCCTGCTGATGACTGGAACACTGTAGATCAGGAAGTAACAACCACACTTCTTCCTCTTGTGTCCCAGGTTAGTTGTACTTGTTCTCTCTGGACTTTCTTCTTAGGATCACAAAGATTTCCTTTGCATTCACTATCCTCAAGCTTTTAAAAGTCCAAGAGACATTTTCCCCCTTGTTCCTTTTCTAGTAAAGATTAGCTCCAGCCATTGAGTAATGGCACTCCTTGCTGGATCACTTCTCTTATGATTTTTTATAGTATTATCTTCTGCCTCATTGACACAAAACATACTTTGATTTTAATTCTTCTTTGGGGCACATCTATGCTTTGTCCATAATCATCCTGGTAGTCACTGCTATTAGTGTTATTACAGGGACCAGTGAAAGATGTACATATGGCAAGAAGTTTCTCCTACAAGAAGAGTGTACGTCAGGTTCCTGCTCACAGAGAACAATTCTGCAGCGCTAGAAAAGACAATGTTGGGAATGTGGTCTCTCTGGGTAAGTGTTCTTCACCTTTCCAAATAAAAGGTTTGGGTATTTCTAATCTTTTCATACCTGCTAACAATTAGATTTAAATGTTAGTACTTAAAAGACCTCCTTATGTTGTGCAATCATTTCTGTGGTCGTACTAGACATCATAATCATTTATACTGTTATTTTACCTCATTTTTCCTTTCTTCCAATTTCAAATATATTTTTCTTGTAATTTAGTGGTTAAAACATTGGACAGGTTTTTATATTACTTAAGTTAAACACATACACTTCCACTTGACTGAAGATCACATCATTTTTTTAGGATACTTAAATTTTACTTAACACAGTACCCTAATGCTTTGTGCAGAGCCCAACATATGCAGCCAGAAAATAGTTGTTGGGCTGAATGTAAATCTTATAAATGGGAGAAAAGAAATAATTTCAATACAGTACTTAAAGCCATGTTATGAGTTATTTAAATAGCTACAACTTACAGGCACATGACCACTGAAATGTCACTTTACAAGCAAACTTTTGAAGAATTTTGTCATCCACATTAGTAGGGATAAATGTAATTCATATGTGAGCTATAAATTAAAATTACTTATTGATAAAATTATGACTCTAAAATGTGCATTAATACATACCATACATACTACAAACCTGTGCTGCTGTTTTAAAAGGGTTAGCCAGTAAATAAGTTAAAAGTTCCCTGGTGGCCATAGCCAGTCACATTCCAGATATTCAGTAGCTCTACTGGACACAATTATAAAACATTTCTTTCCTTAGAAAAAGTTCTGTTGAACAATATTATATATAAACTCTAAATTATAGAGGTTATAAGATGGACTGTGTTAAGTTGAATGAATAAACTTAACAATATTTACAATTAGAAAACTACTTAAGCAGTTGGAAAAGACAACCAACTTAAGATAACACTGAAGACACATGACAGTATAAAGCAATCTTCCCAGGGTAGCGGACATCCAAGCCATCTGCCTACTTATGTGCATGATAGTTATGTACATGATAGATGTTCCCTGGTGTGCCTGGAGTAACTAATAAAATGCTGCAATGGAGTCTTTTGTAAAAGCTTCCACAAAATGGATAGGGATCATATTTGGCAATTTCAGTATTAGCCCAACCCCTGCAGGTGTAATTAGTTGTGGAAAGACACATGCCCAAAAACCTATCCCAGTCTTTTCATCACAGATTGTAAACTGATGGTTTATGATGCTAAATTTAACCTATACACTTATTTTGACCTTGTGTAGGATTTTAATTTAAAATTAGCCTACAAATCTTGATTGCAAGACTTTTGCATAATCAAAGGGGAGGCACCATAGGACCCACCTTGTTACATAGCATTTGTTGGCCAGAGGTAACTGAGGGACTCATATTGAGGAACCACAGGTCCCACTCCAGACACTTTCACATTTACATTGTCTGCCTAGTTCTTATAGTTGTACTTTCATTTTCTCTACACTTCCCTCATGTAAAACCAAAGAACAAGTCTCCATCCCAGGTTCTTTCAAAAAAGATTTAATTTGATGCTGATTCTCTATGAGAATCCCATGATACTTCTGTTTGTGTTGTCTTGAGAAGGAAACTAACTTTTACTACATACCTGTTGGGCACTGGACACTAAATGACCATGTTGTTATGCCCTGTACCGCTTTGAATAGAGGATAATATTCTCCCAGGAAATTGAAGTTCAGAGAGGCTGAGAAGCTTCCCCTGGTCAAAAAGTTAAGTAAGTAATTGAACAAGGATGCAAATATAAGACATGTTGATCTCTACACTATTGTAAAGTAACAGGAATTCCACTTGCTTCCCTATTTTTATATCTCTTCCTTATTAACTATCATATGTATCCAGAACATCTTGATTTCTCATCTGTCATAACCTCAGTATATATATGTATGTTTAGAGAATGAGGGATCATGGATAACATATAAAAGTACACTTTATTTTATAAGTAATGAATACTGGTCTGGAGCATACTACAGATCTAACAAAATGTTAGCTACTGTGGGTAAAATGCAGGCAACAAAAATAAATGTTCCTTGCCCTGGAAAGTTTTCCTTTAAGAATTAGCTTTCCCTGATGGAGCAGCATGTTAAAGCACAGCACTGAGAAGCTGGGGCCACTTCCACATGAGTTGATCCCTGCCTTCCCTGGAGGTGATCCACATGGCATGTCAGACCTCTCCTGGCCTGCCCATTGCTCCCGTCAGCAGTGTACTTCATCTGTCAGCTGTTCTGCTCCCCACTCTGTCTCTGGTGAATTCTCTCACTGCCCCTGTACCTCTGCCCTGTACCACAGTTCTGTATGAATAAATAAATAAAATCTTTAAAAAAAAAAAAAAAGAATTAGCAGTGGGCCCTATGTTTATTGCAGCACAATTTATAGCTGCAACCCATATGCCCCAAAATAGATGACTGGATTAAGAAGGTGTTATATATTTATACAATGGAATATTACTTAGCAATCAAAAAGGATAAAATCATGCCATTCGCAGCAGCATGGATGGTGATGGAAGGAATTATACGCAGTAAAATAAGCCAGAACCAAAAAGAAAAAATATCGAATTGTCTCACTTATAACAGGAGTGCAGAAGAACCAAATAAGGGATCAGGAGAAAAAAATAACTATGATAGTAAAAATCAAAATCATCATGCAGCTATAGATCTGAGACATTCTGTAGGGGATAAGGTAGATGAAGGATCAGGATGGGTGGGAACAGCACAAGGGACTACAGTGATGGTGTATGGTGTATAGGATGGTGTATTTGTGGTGGGAATTTCACGAGGAAATCATAATGTACAAAAATGAAGGGTTATTGATCTAATACATATTTTTGTAATTTTAGACCAAAAAAAAAATTAGCAGTGGCAATAAGTAGTAAAATGGCAGAGTAAGTTAGTACCAAAGGACTTATGTAAGAATAACTATACGGAGCACTATCATGATTCAAGAAGACTCTAGAAAAATTCTAGAGTTGATATGGGCAGGACCTTCATTTTTTTTTTCATTACTTTTTTTAAACAGTAATAACTTTGGGTTTCAGGTTTACATCTTTGAAAATGAACATTAAAGTAAATCTACATTAAGTACACCACTAAAAATCCAGTTCTGACCTTCACTTCTAAGTCTAAATGTGAACAAATGGTCCAAGAGAGTACACCACAGAGAAGACTGGGCTATATAATAATCACCGCTATGTCTAGCATTGACTGTATTTCTCTTCCCATAGGAAGTACAGTGTCAACATCTAACAAGAGAGCCCAGTTGGAGCAAAGAAAGGAGCCATGGGCCATAGGTCTACATTCCACTAGTAAGAGGAATAATCTACGAAGCAACTACATCAAGGAAAAGTCAGCTCATGCTGTTCAGATCCCTGCAAGGAATGCAGGAAAAACATGGAGAGAGCAACAGCAATGGGGTTTAGAAGATGAAAAGATAGCAGGCGTGCACTGGAGCTATGAGGAAACTAAGACTTTTCTTGCAATTCTTAAAGAGTCTCGCTTTTATGAAACACTTCAGGCTTGTCCCCGAAATAGCCAGGTATATGGAGCTGTGGCCGAATGGTTGCGAGAATGTGGCTTCCTCCGAACACCAGAACAATGTCGGACCAAGTTCAAAAGTCTCCAAAAGAGCTATCGAAAAGTGAGAAATGGTCATGTGCTAGAACCCTGTGCCTTCTTCGAGGACATGGATGCTTTATTAAACCCCGCAGCCCATGCTTCGTCCACTGACAAGCCAAAAGAGGCCGTATCTCTCCCCAGACTAAAGAGAACTGGTATCACTGCTAAGGAGCAAATTAGTTTGGTAGAAGAGGAAGAAGCAGCGGAAGAATCTGATGGTGATGAAATGGGTATTGAATTTCTCCGGAAACCTGAGATGCGTGGTGCCCCTGTCTTGTTTCAGAACCTGAGCGGTAAGAATTGTGCTTTTGTTTTTCTGGCATGAAATTGTATGGTGTGGGCTGGTGGAAAAGGAATGGACAAGAATGACCAAACCCAAGGAGTGCCTCCGCAAATGCCTGAACACTAGCCATTGTGATTTGCCACGTAACTATATAAAGTACTTTCAGGTGTTTGTTACTCTTAGTTACAGCATTGAGTGGCAGTGGAGTGTTCTTTTCAGGTGAGAGCACTGCAGGAATTTTGAGTATTCGTGTCTTTTGGGGAAAAAAGTAAGTGGAGTCAAAGGAGTCTCGGGATCGAACATTATCTGAGAATTGGTATAACGTCATCAGTTATACTATCTTGTCCTCAGTCCAGGATACATTATTATGCTGAATAGACAGTGAAAGAGTGTGTATGAAATGAAAAAGATATACCGTATAAAAGAAAGCTGGTGTTTAAATTTAAGGACTGAGATATGCAGAATTAAACTGCCAGTGAACAACAGTTTGACATCAGACACACTGGACTATTCTGAGCTTCAGTTTTCAATGTTTGAAATGTCAGAGTTGGTGTTAAATGAGATCATATAGGTGAGGGCATTCTGCAAATGTTGAAATGCAATAAAACATTGCCTGCTGTAACTGTTGTTAATAATGCTTCTCTGCCTTATGGGGAAAATGATTAGTTCTTATATAGAATGAAAAAGACTAGGAGAGTTAGGAATGTGCTTGCAACTGTAGTAAAAAAATAAATATTTCTAGGGCTCTCCCTGGTGGCACAGCAGGTTAAAGCACCACATATGAAGCTCTCTAAAGTCACTGCAGCACGAGTTAAATACCCCGCCAGGGAGCTGACTCCCCTCAGCAGTGTATTTCAGTAAATCTGCCTGTTCTGCTCCCCACTGTCTCTGGTGAATCTTCTCACCCACGACCCCTCTGGCCTATACCAGCATAAATAAATAAATCCTAAAAAAAAAACCTCCAGAAAAATATGGGAAGATGCATTTATGCATATACAGGTAGTCATAGTGTAGAAATACAGCTCTTGGAGTATATGGGAACCAGTGATAGGACTAGAAAAGAACACTCAATAATAGAGGGAAGAAATGAGTTTTTCCAATTACAGATCAAAAAGCACACCTAAACTTACTCCAACACATTTTGAAAAGTTTTATGTTGCGATAAAAGTGAAACTTTCATCTCTTAGAGGACTTAGTGACAGCAAAACTACTCTGTTCATAGTTCTCTTCAAGGAAAATTGTTTAAAGAGGTGATAGGAATTTAGAGGAATTTCTGAGTCCATTTTTCTCAACTGTTTTTGAAAGACAGCCAAATCCTTAGTCACTGTAGCATATTTACTCTACCAAGTTAACTTTGAAGTTTCTATTGTCAATGTTAGTTTAAAAATCCAGTGAGGTGGACTATGGTGATGGCACACAGGTGAACTGGTGGTGGGAAGCCCATGGGGGTTACAACCAAGATGGAAAAATGCACAAAATGAAGAATGATATAAAAAAAATTAAAAATATGATAACAATGCTATATTAAAAAAAAAATCCAGTGAGGATTTTCTCATAACATATTCATTTAAATTGTTTTCTGTACAACTTGAGTCTTTCTAATCAGAAACAAGTAATTTCTATTTTTTATAGTCTTTTATATCTTTCAATACATTATTACAAATTTATATACAAAATGAGACCTTGTTTTTAGTAAAACTTATTCCAAGGTATTTTATAGTTCCTGTCGCTACCATGAATGGAATTTGTTTTCTTTGACCTCTTCTACTTTGTAATTTGTAGAGGCTACAGATTCCTTATGCCTTTGACCTTTATCTTGAATGGCAGGTGTGCACTGGGGCTATGAGGAAACCAAGACTTTTCTTGATATCCTGCGCGAGTCTCGGTTTTATGAAGCACTTCAAGCCTGTCATCGAAAAAGTAAGTTGTATGGGGCTGTGGCTGAACAACTGCGAGAGTGTGGCTTCCTCCGGACACCAGAACAGTGTCGAACAAAGTTCAAAAGCCTTCAGAAAAGTTACCGCAAAGTGAAGAATGGTCACGTATTAGAGTCCTGTGCATTCTATAAGGAGATGGATGCCCTGATTAACTCTCGTGCACCTGTCCCTTCTGCCAACACAGCAGAGGAAGTCCCATCACCCACAACTCAAGAAAGAGAAGATATTGAGATTGAATCCCAGGAACCTACAGACTGGGACCCTGAGGACACCTCACAGGAGGCAATAGTGGAAGATTCTGGCAGCGAGAGAATGAGTGAGGATGAAATTTTGCAAGAGTCAGAATTCCAGGGACCTACAGATCTACTACAAAATCCAAGTGGTAAGCATCATCAAGGGGTTGTAGTTTGAAAGAGGAAGAAGTATGATTTACTGAAGAATCAGTAGATCTGGCACGTCACAAATACTTGCCCATTAAATGGTTGAGGGTTCTGTGCTATTTAAGGGAATGGGCTCTACCAATGAACCACCTTTTCTCATGGTGGTTCTGTTTAAGGGAGAAGTTTACATTCTAGTGTTTAGTATTTGGATCTCAGCCTCAATTTTTTTCTATGGGGTCAGACAATGCTTTATATCTCTTGAAAATGCTGTGGGGATAATGTTGGAATTATGCATGAGAAAAATTCAAATGAAGAAGATACTATCATAAACTCAAAATAGAAATAGCGCTGTTATGTGTGGTGTGCATGAAAAAATGGATAGGCAGAGACAGAGTGAGACAGAGAATTTCTTCTGGTCCTCAGCTTCACTGTATATTTCCCTCATGAGTTTCTTTCCAGCACGATAGACTTAAAATTCTCAAAACCAATATTTACCATTTCTCATACCATGAATTTTCTCTGTCCCCCCACTTGTCATTCACACTTAAAACCTTAGAAATATTTTTGACACCTTCTCTCCCATTATTTACATACAGACACATGACACTGTTTTTTCTCAACTGTTGTAGAACTCTATACTTAATCTCGTACTATAGAGTCACTTCTTAGATCAGCCTTTTCTCTATCTCCAAGACAGTTTTCTCCATCAGTCTTGTATTAAGGTTCCACAACCATCCTTGTCTGAGCTCATATTTCTGCCCTTACCTGTATCATTATTTTCTTTCCTATACTCTCCCTAGTCAATGCCACAGCCACAGGGATTGAGGAATAGAAACAGTTTCAACTTAACATGTGAAAGAAGATTTATGTTCACATTGGCAGGTGGATACACAGAAGGATATCAAATACTTAAGAATAAGGGTTTGGGAATAAAGCCTATCTAGAATGGACCTAAGTGATACAGCTTATAAAGTATAGATAAAATGAGATGATGCCTTAATTTAGTTCTAAATGATCTGGGGCAAGGATGCAGGGAGTATGTGGCAATGAAGATAGGTAAATTATTCATGAGAGGTCATTATATATACCGTTCTTTTTACTTTTCTATATGTTTATTTAAAAAAACATGTAATTGATAAATAACCAATGTAGAATCAGAACCAGAGTTGTCAGATCCCAAAGCCTCTGTCTCTTTACCACATCATGTTCTGTATCCAAAAAACTTCTTGGAAAAGGTGGGATTCAAGATGATCCTTGTAGTGAATGTGGGATGCAGATAAAAGAGTAAGAAGATAATCCCAGTTTGGAGAACAGTGAGAATTTAAATTTGAATGATATGCTCTGTGTGAGAGAGCCAGTAAAACAAAGTGGTAGGAGCATTTGAGAGAAGAAAGAAGGGTTCTCAGATACAATGAGATATTGATGAACTTAGAAATACATTCAGGAATTTGGACTTGATCACTAAAATATACTCTAAACACTAGTGTAGTATCTGCAGTCGTAAGAGAAAGACTGCAGTTAAACGAAGTAAAACAAATTTTTTGACTGGTTACCAGAAGGGAAAGGAGGCAGAGGGATAAATCAGGCCAAAGGGGACAGGTATATGGTCAAGGATAGAATTGAACACATGTTGATTCTCAATACATACCTGAAACTTATGTTACAATATTACTTCCATTAAAAAATAATTTTAATATTAAAAATAAACACTAATGAATTGTAATATATCTTAGTATAATATAAGCTACTAAAAGTATAGTGATAGACTAGAATTTCAAGGAGATAGCATGCTAAGTTGCTCCTATTTTTGTCATATTGATAGAGAATAATGGCTTCTATTTTTTTTAATTCAGAAAACATTTTTGAGGACCAGTTTTATTTTGGGAATTATTTGGTTGTTCATTGAACTGAAAGGAAAGAAGATATAATGAATCATGGACGAATCACTAGACCTGAGGTCGTTGAAGTCTACAGGGATCATAACCAAACCTTTTAGAACATGCTTATGTGAATACATTCAATGGTGGGAAATTGTTATTGTCTTTTTTTTTTTTTTTAAGATTTTGACATTGGATGTAGTGTCAAGGAGGATGCAACGCAGGTAATATATAAGGACATGGAGCAACATAGAGCATTAATAGAAAAGTCTACAGTGGTGGTTTCCCAAAACACTGATCTGGGTAAATGCCATAAAAGAGAGTGCATCTCAGGAAGACAATGGGAAAATCTTCAAGGAATCAGACAGGGAAAATTAATATCTCAACCTAAAGACTTAGGGAAAATTATAGTACATCAAAGGCCCTTCATGGGGAAAAGACCCTACAGACTTCTGAAATATGGAGAAAACTTTGGAAGGAGTACTCGCCTTATGTGCCGAATGACCCACCAGAAGGAAAATCCTTATAAGTGTAGTGTCTGTGGGAAGTGCTTTGGTCGAAGCAGGAGCCTGATCAGACACCAAAGAATCCACACAGGAGAAAAACCTTTTAAATGTCTTGACTGTGGAAAGAGCTTCAATGACTCCTCAAACTTTGGTGCCCACCAGAGAATCCACACAGGAGAGAAGCCCTATAGATGTGGAGAGTGTGGGAAATGCTTTAGCCAGAGCTCAAGTCTTATTATACATCAGAGAACCCACACTGGAGAAAAGCCCTATCAGTGTGGAGAATGTGGGAAAAGCTTTACCAACAGTTCTCATTTCAGTGCCCATAGGAGAGTCCACACTGGTGAGAATCCCTACAAATGTGTAGACTGTGAAAAAAGCTTCAATAACTGTACAAGATTTCGAGAACATCGAAGAATGCACACTGGAGAGAAGCCTTATGGGTGTGCCCAGTGTGGCAAACGTTTCAGCAAGGGTGCTGTTCTTGCCAAGCATCGGGAGGTTCATATGAGAGAAAGGCTCTTGCCTCATCCTTCTGTGTATTCCCCAGAGCCCCCATTTAAGGGGAAGACTGATGAATTCAGGAAAACTTTTTAGTAGTGATCTCTTTTCTTCCTAAATGTCCCTCTAGCCATTTCACCCAAATCTCACTTGTGGAAGCAATCCTTTCTTAGCTATAAAAGTGTCATCCCCAAGACTAGCTCAAGAATACATAAACCGAAGACTTGGATCCAGTTCTTACCTCTGCCTCTGTTTGGATCAGCCTGTTCCTCTCCTCCTGTGTATCCCAGTTTTCATTTAGAAGAGCGAAGAAGCTTTGAGTTTAGAATGAAATTCTCTTCAGTACGTTGAGCCCACTCTATTTGATTTCTGAGTCCAGCAACGTTCAAGATCCTTCATCGTAGGTGAGAGTTGTTTTCAAGGAGATGAAAAATGCTGAACGTTTTTTTGTTTTGTTACCTACCGTATGAGATCCTGGATGCAGATTAATCACAGAATTCCATGTTGGGTAGAACTTTTAGTTGTCTGATTAGAACAACATCAAATCCATGTTGGTTTTAAAGATACAAAAGGAGTTGGAAGATGTTAATAGCTTCCTTCCAAAGCCTATTGCAGCGTTCCTTTTTTGTGTCAAGAAATTGATCCAAATAGTGAGAGTCAGATCCTTGTACTGTCCTTGAAATCTCGTAACTAATGCCTCCTCCACAGAGAGGGGAAGCGACTGATCACTTGTCATTCTTTGTATCAGCCTCTTCTGTACCTGAACACTGAAACCCTCGTGGCTGCTGCTTCTCCAGTCCATATGTAATCCATTTCCTTTTACTGTTTCTCATAAGTCCTACACTTACCTCTTAGCTGTTCTAGGTGCTGTCTGTCTGATTCTTCTGAACTACCATGCCCTTCTCAGATTGACTAGGATGCATGCTCTTGGTGTGGCTCATTCAAATAAGTAGAACTCCAGACACATTCTACCCTTAACTTCTCTGGTTCTTAGGTAGAGCATGACTGGTATGTTGATGTGTTTTATGCCCCCCAGCCCCATACTTCAACATATTATATAATAGTTTTCTAACGTTAGAGATGCAAGGTGTGGGGGTCCAGGAAGAAGTGAGGTGGATACCTGAAACAGTTAATGTTCCTAAGACTCCATGGGCCTCCTTTAGTTCAGATAGCCACCTCAGTCCAGGCCAGCACCTCCAGGAAGGTGTCTTCAATACCCCATTCTCCTTTCTGAGTCTTCTAGTCCCTGTCATAGGATCATAAACCTGACTACTTTATGCAGCCGTATAGCTCATTGAGTAAAAGTAGAGTTACAGAAATTTCCTGTCTAGAATGCCATTTTTGTTTTTCTAATTCCTGTTTGACTGAAAAACCTTTGATAATCCCACAATACTAACCAGATAAATGTTAAAGGAAGGGTTCAGGTGGGGGATAGTCTATGGAAGTTACAAGTGAAACCCACAAACTTAGTCATTCATAGTTGCTTTAGGATGAGACCAGTGGTATTTATGTCCTTAGCATGGAGGTATCCTGAAGTGGCTTTGCTTTGGGGAGGGAGGACCCCAGAATTGAAACTGTGGTTTATTCTTCTGAGCTTCTCTTTCCTTTGCTGCTCTCATCTGAAGACATCTGGAGGTTTTTGTTGTTTTTGTTTTTGTTTTCCTTGCATATGTTTGAATCTTTTGAAACTGGTTCAGCAGAGTATCAAGATGGGTAGTAGAAAGAAATCAACTGCAGTGTGAGAATAGGGTGTGGTCTGTGTGAAGGCAGGTGACTCAGGTAAACATGGATAAGTGTTTCTGATTTACATTTGTTGCAAATGTTGATTGTCCACATCCCAGTAGGTGGATTTCCTCGATGCTGTCTGGATTATGGACTTCTAATGGTAAGTGCAGTTTTATGTTGGTAGTGTGCCTACCTCAGCGAGACGTGTATAGTGCCAGTGGGTGTGTGCTCATGTTCTGTAGATGTCTGGAATTCCAACTCTAGGGGAGATGCACATTAATAGAGATCACTGCTTAGTAATATGTACACGGGATTGATAATTATATTGAAGCATGATTCAGAAAATAGATTAACTTACTTATAAATATTTATTAAGCACTGTGTGTGTTAGGCCATGTTCTAGGCACAGTGAGGGAGATGAACATGGAAAGGGGGGCATGGTGCCTGTGCTCACAGAACTTCAAGTGCAGTAGACAGTAGAGGAGGTATTAGAGCAGAAGATCCTGTCCACTATGTCCATGCCAAGCACAAGGAAATGACTCTATCATGAGAAAACCACCTCACTTGCAGAAGAGCTTTTCTACATTGCCAAGAACACTGTTCTGAGGCTCTGACTTCCCCAGTGGCAGCAAAGGTCAGACCATTCCATCTCCAGGGGAGCAAGCTGGTTTCTGTCAAGTCTTGTGTCTGCAATCGAGCTGAGGTGGAATTGGGTTTCTCTAACTATTGCAAATTGTAAATGAGCTGTCAGGATATGTATCAAATTGACTTAATGAACTTTGCCTCTATTGTGAAGAAATAGAAGGTCCTACCCACCATTTTAGACCATTGCTGCTTGGACTTTATCTTTTCTCAGCTGGAGCAGAAAGTCAAAATGAATAATGTGCTTTTATATTACATAGAACTGCCTTTATGAAAATTCATAGGAAAGGATTTTTTTTTTTTTTGGTCTACATCTCAATAACAGGGAAAGCTCTGATCCTACACAAAATAAAGGATCTTACACCGATTTTCCTAACTTACTGTTCCTCTCTCCTTGTTCTGGCTGCTGGAAAGTGCAACAAAACTTACAGCTCACCTCAACCAACTATGGTAAATCTATATTTATTTAATCCTGTTTAATTTCTGTGAAAATTTTCCTAAATCTTATTTTTTTAAAGTGGTATAAGCAAATGGACATTTTATTTTCTGACATCTTAACCATGGCACTGTGGAAACTGACTTGTATTTCCTACCTAGGCTTGCTTTGTTTCTTCCACAGATACCTCCAATTCTTACCAGTGATTATATTACACATATAACATAATTTATTCATGGAATGAAAACTTAGTTTTTTAAAGAGAAAAAGTTTACACATACACTTAAACAGCTCAGGGCAGCCTACCATGGTGGAATAAGCATTTAGACCAGATGCCAGAGGGGGCAAGTTCTTGTCACTGTCACTTCCTGGATAATGTCTGACAAACCATTGCCTCTTTTTGGAACTTAGTTCTTTATTGGAAGAGAAGTCGAACATGACCACAAGACTTCTCCACTCTAATGTCGTGTGAGGCAATGGAGTGAGTGGTAATGGAGGAAGACATGATATGTCAAGCTACCCAGCCTGGCTCAACACTGCGTGCAGCCTGCAGGCCAGACTGAATCCAAATCATACTCTTAAGAAGAGGGATGCTGCAGACAGACCCGACGCTTGCTCAGCAAGGACAAAGGACAAATGACTGCTGGGCAGAGCAGGCAACCCCCAAGGACGGCAGCTGGGGCTGGAGTAGCACTCAGCACGTGACTGTAGCAAAGGAGGTGTATTTTGTGAGGTCTGGTGCCTAATGACAGATAAGACTGAACTAGGAGGCAGCTGGGAAAGCCCAAATGCAAAGAGTGCGTCTGCATCCTGGCAGCGGCCAACCCTGCCTCCATGGGAGTGCATTGCAAGAATAAATGTGTGTCCACTCACCGTTGTGTGCTAATGTTCACTTAGATTTCGTCTTGAAAACGTGTGTGTGCGTGTGTATGAAATAAATGTCTAAAATAAATAACTCCCATTGGTGTTTGCCATAATTTGAAGTATATCTTCCATTAAAGGAAGAGAACTTATCCAAGAGGTAATAAAACAGATCCTAGCAGCTAAAGAGAATGTCACCACTATTCCAGTTCACCACTATCCCCACAGCTAGCAGAGCTTTCTCATGAGTCCACAGCTACTCCTGGGCACTATCTTCTGACAGTTATCACTGCCACTGCCCTAGATAATGGTTGCCTCTGATTCTGGGGTGAAGTTAGCCTTGGATGCATATACTGCATGTTTTCTGGACAAAGCACTCACCCGCAGCCTCTATGATCTGTTCAATTTCCCACATGACTTGGGTCATGGGATCCATGTAGAGGTTGTGCCACTTGCCAAGAATGTATTATTTCCAAATGTATTCTCAGGAACTGTAGGAACAGCCTATTCCCCTCTCATGAGGTAGACTCCAGACAAAGTGTCACTTGGACTTTATAAACCATGGGCTGTGTGCAGCCAGTGGCAGAGTCCATAATAGTTGTAATTACTCAGAATCTGAGAGTTCCTCTAAGTTTTCCCTATTTTCCTTAAATGGTCATGACCTGTCTGAAGGGATAAAGACAATGTTTGCATGTGGTGTTCTATCAGATTCCTAGCAGGTTACCTGGCCTCCTATTCCTTTACAGAAACTTAGATCTTTAACACACTCAGGTCTGGGAATTAGAGGAGAGAATTAAAATCTCTAAGGGCACCAAATGTTTAATTCCTATAACCAGTTAAGTCAATTATACTTAAGGAAGAATGAATGTTATGTGTTTCAAGCAATAAAAGGGACATAGCCAGTCACATCTCCAGTCCTTATGGATGTGACTGGGGGGCAGAGGCTGTGAGTTCCATGAGAAGTGAATACATAAACCCACAAGACAGGCGCTGAATGAGAAAGAGATGGAGGAGATAGGAGACCCAAAAAGATGCAACATTAGGGTTACTTGGATACATGAGCATAAAGCCCATGGAGCAATGTGCTTGGTGTGAAAATTGTGGAATTGTCAGAAAATGATCCCCCTTTCAAGAAATCATATTGGCCTACTTAAACGTGATCCAGTGAGAGCACACACCAGCTCCAAGGACCATGCGCAGCAGCGGCACCATGAGGCAGAGGGAACGGCAGCAGCAGCAGCAGGCACAAAGTAAAAAGCTAGGACCTGAGAAAATGGGTGTACTCCCCTTTCAGATTGTTTAAACTGTTGAGTTCTTGGACAGTCTGGCAAGGGAGAAATGCAAGAGTGTAAATAGTCTTCCCAAAAGCGTGGCAGTGAGGACTCAAGCCAATTCTGGCAAAATGAATCAGTACTTGTACCCCAAGTGTTTAGACCAAAGTGTTTAAACCTGTTGCAGCAGAAAGGACACTTGACCCAAATCCTGGGTTCTACTTAAGCACTACCACTAAGCCACTGTGTGGTTGTAGCCCAATTATTTGTCCTCCCTGGGCCTTGAGCTGGCCTGTGTCCTGCTAATCCTAGTCACCATGCCAGTGGACTCTCTGCTGGACTTTGCAGGGTCTGAGGTCTGTGATCTGGAATTGACTTAGAGTTGGAATTGGGACTGTGGACTCTTGACTTTCAGATAGCACTCTGCACAGGGCTAGCTGGTCAGGAGATGGGCTCTGGGCTGGGCTGGCCTCCACTCTTAAGTACTTCCCACAACCGTGGACTCTGAGCTGGGCCACAGGCTTCACTTGCACAGACAGTTTCAGTTAGACTTTTCTTTCTGAAATTAAAATCAAGCCAATGCATATGGAGAAAACACTGCACTACTTTTTATTACAAAGCTGCCCTAATAGCTCAAGAGGTAAAGAAATAGCAGAAGGCTAAAGAAATAGATAGCAGAGGGCCCTTCTGTAACAAAGGGCTCAGGGAACCAGAGAAAGAGAAAAAGTCGGGAAGACTCAAGTGATGTGCACATACAGCCCCTCTTCCAACTGCTCTTCTGCTCCTACGAGCTTCCCTGTCAGGGGATTTCTTCAGTTGTGCTGTTTCTGCCTCCCTCTGGGTAGTGTTGACAACACGCCCACAGGCTGAGGGGGCTGGCGAGCATCCACAGGACTTAGTAGGAGTCTCTCTCTCTGAGAAGCCAGGCCCAGATCAGCAGGAGCATGCCAGTCTCTCTGACCTCTGCTCTGGCCGGGGCACAGAAGCTGCCCTGTCTACAGTCCAGGGGTGTCCACAGGGGCACCTGGCAGGCGGAAGTCCACCTGAGCCTCAACGCCCCTTTAGGATCAGGCGGGTTTTCGCATCTCCAATGAAGAACCTACAAAAGAGATGGCCCAGCTTCACAAAAAGTCACACAGACCGACAGGCACATGAAAAAGTGCTCATCACTTGCTGTTAGGGAAATGCAAATGAATCACCATAACCCATAGGTAAAAGACCAGAAACAGCAAGTTCTGGAGAGGATGTGGAGAAAAATAAACTTCCACACTGTTGGTGGAAGTAAAGGCTGGTTCAGCCCCTGTAGAAAACAGTGTGGACACTTCTGAAAATATTAAAACTGGAGCTGCCATACAACCCAGAAATTCCACTCCTAGGTACCTACCTGAGGAATACAAAGACACTGTTTGGAAGGGAACCATCCAATCCCATGCTCACTGCAGCACTATTTACTATAACCAAGCAATGGAAATAACCTGTGTCCAAATACATACGTGTGGGTCAGGAAAAGTGTGTGTGCGTGTGTGTATGTATGTATACACACACACACAGAAAATGGACTACTACTCAGATATCCAAAAGATAGAAACTTGCCACTGTGGCAACATGCATAGAACTGGAGGGGATTGTGTGAAGCAAAATAAGTCAACAGGAGAAAGGCAAAAACCAAATGGTGTCACTTATATGTGGAATACAGAGACCAAACAAAGGGTCCAATAAAGCCAAAAAAAAAAAACCCTAGGAAGCTGACTACCAGAGCAGGAGAGGGAAGGGCAAGGAAAAAGTTGGGGGGAGAAAAGAAGGACTACGAGGATGGACTGTGGAGCTCTGCTGATGGGGTGATATCGGGACAATACTTAAAGCGGGGGCTGCTGTACCCTTCCGCATCTGTAATGATGTAAGCCAATCCATCAATAAAAATAAGACAAGTGGGAGGAGGGGGGGGATTCGATGGCCAGCAAGATCTGTGAGCCTCTGGAGAGAGGCCCAGCCCTCATCAAACGTCTCCAGACCAGAATTCCCAGGAAGCTGCTTTTCTGAGCTCTCCAGCCTCCATAACCCCCCTCCCCATGGAAAAAGGCAGATTCCTTTTCCTAAAGGTGCTCATCTCTGCCCTGCTGAAAGCAGCATGGAATTTCAAGTAATGCTTTTCTCTAGCCCAACACTGAGCAAGACTGCAGCCGGGCCACTCAGTACAAGCTGTCCAGCCCAGCCCAGCCCAGTGGCTGTCCTCTCCCAGACAGCAGGGACCACCCTCGTGACTGGATGCAGACACTAATCCCTACACAACCTGGAGCCGAAAGAACAGGACCCTATGGATCCTTGAGGCCCACAAGAAGAAAACCCCAGGAGAAACAGACAAGCAGAACTATCTTTCTGATAACATTAAACCCCTTTGCCTTATCCAGGGAACCATTCACATTGTCTTTTACGCGAATGGTGTCTCCTGCACCCCTGCTCTTGGGAGCACCTCTCACATAGTTTGCTATGTAGACAGGACCCCCTAGAGTTGTATAACACCCATGTGGAAAACCATTCATCCTCCCCTATTCTTGTTTAGGTATGGCTGACCTCACCCCAACTCCAGGACGAGGCTCATGCTCCAGACACAGTCCCCAGTGGTGCCAGCCCTATGGCTGCAGGGCCTGATTCCGAGGTTGGTGTGGCCCAGTCTGGGTCAGTCCAAAGCTGTGGAGCACCACACCCAGGGCTCTTGCTGGGGTGGCCCTTTCTCTAAAGGTGTTAGGCTGCCAGGATAGAGGCCTAGCACCTTGCCTCCACTGCAGAGAAGAGCATATTCAAGTGTGAGGTCAGCAGTGCTGAGAAAACACATGGCCTAAAGGCATGGCTTGAGCACCTACCTGAAGCCTATGCTACCTGTGAACCAGTGAGACCCCCTTTATGGTGGGGCCCCCACCCCATATTAAGATGGATTTCTGTCACTGACAACCAAGAGTCCCACAGTCCTAATCTCTGTCTCTAAAGAAGTCCCTTCCTTTCTTCTCCAAAGCCATGTGCAATCCCTCTAGCTACCCCCAGGGACCTGTCACACACCTACCTGATGAGCAGCCCCACAAGCAAGCTGGCCAGGAGTGGGCCCACCCAGTAGATCCATTGGTAGGTCCAGTAGTTGGCCACCACTGCAGGTCCAAAGGCCCGGGCAGGATTCATGCAGGCACCAGACACAGCACCTCTGCAAACATCGAGCCGCACAGGTTACCAGGATCCCAGCCAGACCCCAACTCAATTCACACTCATTTCCCCAACTAGGCCAGGGTCTGCCTAGGAAACTTCTGTAAGCTACCTTGTCGTGGGGTTAGGGAGAGGGGATCCCAAAGAAGACACAGGTAAGAACACTGTTAGCCCTATGAACTGAAAGACTTGACTCCTCCCTTGACTCTGCCACCCCCCCCCACACCCTTCTAGAAGGCCCAGCAGGAACAGACAATGGATCTCAGTCCTCTCCAACTTGCTAAAACGAAGTCAAGCTGTTGTCTGCTTCATGAACTTTGGTGGCAAACTGCTCTAGCGTCACAACCCCAGCCAGCTATTTCTTCTGTGTCCCCTAACCTCCAGTGGAGCAAAAGTACCTGTATCTCAGGTTGTCATCAGGAGTGAATGAGAAAATGCATGTAGAGCACTGACTCACAAAACATTCACATCCAAGTGTGAACTGTAAGCCCCTGACCCAGCCGAGGCCTGGCTGCCCCACAAGTGTGAGGCCCAAGGAGGGGTTCCCCCTGTCTGAGGTCTGCATCCTTGCCCATCCCCTCCATCTGGGGGCCTGCTCCCCGGTAGCCTTTGCAACCCAGCAGCCAAAGCTAAAAGGCTGCCCTAAGGGAAGCCAGTGCCCCTGGGGGCAGTAAGCATTACACACAGTCCCTACACCCCAGGGTCCATCTCCCATATGATGACCCCTTGGGGAGGAGAGCAGGCTCCACTTGAGTCTGTGTCCAAGAGAAAGGATGCAACTGGACATCTGAAGGGCCTCCCTCGGCCCCTGTAACTGGAAACATGGGAACTTTTGCCAGATCTGTCACTTAATGTGCCAGTGCCCAGTGACCTTATGTAAGTCACAGTGTCCTTTCTGAGCCTCAGTTTCCTCATATGTAAGTTGGGGGAAATAAGTTGGCCCTGACCTTACTTCCTTAACCCCTTCCCAAACATCCTGGCGGACTCACTATCAAAAGCCAATGGGTACAGTCACTCTTTGTAAGTCTTAAGTTAAACCCTGGCTGCCCCCTGGCTAGACAAACACAGGCTGTAGAAATGTTTGTTGACAAGAAGAAATTTGGAAGCTTTTACATCAAAGTCAACTTGTCTGACCTCCCTAGAGTAAAGTTAAGTGTCACCCCAGGAGATGCCCATATTCCCAAATAGCAACAACGATACCTCCTTAGACACCACCACACCCTGTTGTACGCTGACCATGTCCCCCCTTCACATTACTTCTGTACCCCCTGTGACAGGGCGTCTGTCACTCTGGGGTAGTGCCACAGGTTTGACTTCCTCCAGAGCTGGCCCTGCAGCCCACCCCCAGAGGCGCTCACCCTGCCAGTATGTCTGCTGTAACGGAAAAGCCAATGGAGAATGGGGCCAGTGGTCCCTGCGTCCTCTCGTTGATGGCGCCCATGCATACAGTCAGCGCCAGGATGGTGGTCATGATCATCTCTGCCACCACGGCGCCCCCCACCTGCCAGGGCTCCTGGACTGTCACAAAGGCTGCTCCAGTTGCATTCCAGAACCTCTCTTCAGTACTCACCGCCTGCAAAAAGAAGCCACTCAGCCTCACAGTGGGGGAAGAGACAGTTGGGTCGGGGCATTGGGGGAAGGACTCAAAAGCATGCCCCTGAATGTAAAAGCGGGCAAAGCATTCTGTCCAGGACACAGGGAGGCATGTGTGGGCCCACATCCAGGTACTGGCTGACTCTAGATGAGCCGGCAGACTCCTTTGAGCCTCGTTTTGCACATATGTGAAATGGGGCAAACCCAGCAGGTGTTCTGGGCCTGAATAGAACACCTTACTTTTACAAACTTTGCTAGAACATCTGAGGCAGTGAGCACAAGGCCAGGTTGCTATAGGTTCCCATGACAGGTTTCCCGACTCCCCCACCCCAGTAGAAAGGACCCATCCAATCCCACTGGAGGAATCAGGAAAATATTTAGACAGTCTTCACCCCCCAACCCCACCCAACAGCCCCAAAGCCAAAGTCGCTGGCCCAGTTCCCCAGGGGAGCACCCACCTTGGCCAAGGCAGCCCCAATCATCCCCCCACACATCTGGGAGATACAGTACGGGAGAAGCAGCACCAGGTTGAGCCCTCCGATCAGCGTGGCCGCCAGGGACACTGCAGGGTTAAAGTGTCCACCACTGTGTCCAAAAAGGCAGAAGAAAGTCATGAGGCTGAGGTCCAGGCTGTTGCCAAAGGAGTGTGTCCCACCCCACCCCACCCCACTCCACTCCCAAGGCCAGGGCCCACTCCCAGTAGAAAACAGCATGAAACTATGTCCCGGCGGGGGAGCGGGGGGCAGGGGTGGGAAAGGGATGTGGGGGAGCCATGAGAGGGAGCAGTCCACTTCCTGCCCAACTTCTGGAGGACTTGGAGGAAGAGTGTGTGGGTAACCCACCCTCAACTCCATCCAGACTCCCTCGGAACCCCCTCCGCTTTCAGAGGTTTAACCACAGGTTAGAATTAGACCCCAAGCCCAAGAAAAGTGTCCTGTCCACTTAGACACAAAGAGACCTGAACAAGGGCCCCCAGTCCTCTGCTTAACCCCAATCCCAATCCCTGATTCATGTAGAGTACAAAGTTGAGATGAGTAGTTCCCATTAGACGTGGGAACCAGCCGTGACGTTAGACTGGGTTGGAATCTGGAGTTTGGGATATGAGAGGATCAAAGTTGAAGCTAGGGTCAAAGGGTCAAAGCTGGCCAGGCCCAACCCCCACCCCTTTGGTCTTGGGTAAAGAGCCATTTAGCCATAATGCCTAACCAGCCAAGGCCCCAGAGCCAGCAAGCCCCGACCAGTGCCTGCTACCCCATTGGCATTCCATCTGGTCCCACAGGGATTGAGGAGCTATCCTCAGAAGTGGTCCACTAAGCTGCTGCACAGATGGATATTTTCTCCAAAGGGAAAGTGGCCCCAAGACCCTGCACATCACACAAAACCCATAGTCTTCCTCCTGGGGTGTTGTGACCTCACCAAGGAGTCTGCTCGCTCCCCAATGGAGACAGTGCACTGGGCAGACTGAACAAAAGGATTGTATCCACGCTGATGTCTGAGCGCCAGCTGCCCCCATAGGCCTGGCCTCGCTCAGACTCTCAGAGCTTCCTGCATGATTCGGAAGCTCTGGCTCCATACAGAGGAGAGAGGCACAGCCAGACCTACTTGGCCTTCATTTGGGTTCATGACCAAGCTCAGCCTAAGCTCTGTCAAAGCAGAGAGACGAGGAGCAAGTGGGCGGCCCACAGGATGCTGTGGGGGTTAAAGACCTCTCCACCCCTCGGCCCCTCCTCCACCACATTGCTTTGGGAGTTACAGGGCCTGGATGGGCTGGACGACCTGGAGCACCAGACACTACACACTCACTAACAACAGAGAATCATGACACATGCGTTCTTAGCTGATTCATTCATGGTTCGCCTAATCAGCATCTATTAAACACCTACTATGTGCCAGATGTGGTACTAGGTACTTTATATACCACATCTTAGATGCATTCAAAGTCCGTGTCCGGCACACAGTAGGTGCTGAATAAATACATGTTGAAAAGGAAATGACTAAGAAGTGTGTATTACACTTGCAATGGGGAACAAGGGGTCTCTCCAGCCAGCTGTCCTGCTTCAACCCCCACTGAAGGATTGTGTGACCTTGGTCAAGGTACCTAATCTCCCCATGCCTCAGTAATCTCTACTTTACAGGGCTGTTGTAAGAGCCTCTTAACCATAATGCTCGACCAGCCCCAGCCCCAGAGCCAGGAAGCACCTCAGCCACCAGGGCCCTGCTACAAGTGCATATATTGCATTACATAACAAAAATTCTGGTATTCAATAAATACCAGAAGTCCACACTGAACCGCACAGAGGAGCTCAACTGCTTGCCCTGCTTACCCAGCTGGGAAGTGACAGGCTTGCCTTCAATCACAGACTCACCCCAGTAGAACACCGTGATTTTTGATGCCACCTGCAGCCTCCAGCGGACATTTAAAGAGAGATGTTCGACTTCTCTTTCATACTAGTTTTCTAGGGAACAGTATCTTAATTTCAAATGCAAATACTATTTTGACTTAAGTTTTTAAAATGAAATGAGTTGAATATTCAGACTTATTTCTGAGATTCAGTACAGATGCAACACATCCTAGGTTACCCAGGCAGGCACTCTGTAGCCACTCAATACCTCACTGCCCCTCCTCTCTGGTCAGCGCAGGCCAGGCCCACTGCAGGTATGAGTGTACCCAGGTGGGAGACCCCCTCAGGGGTCCGCCTGCATGTCTGCAGGACACCCCAGGCTGGAGTAAGTCCACGCAGGAAGTATCTGCTGCGGCTCAGCTACCCAGAGGTCTGAACGCTACGCGCGGGCTAACCTCTGTGTATCAATTCATTCTCTTGCCTCCCAGGACACACTGGGTCTGGACCCTGGAGCCCAACCACTGCCACTTTCTAGCTTTGGAGAGATTGTATGATTGGAGAGATTCTCTGACCCAGCTAGATAATGAGGATAATAACAATAATACCTCCCCATGGGGTTGTTGCAGAATTAAACGAGTTACTGACCTGTGCAATGTGTGCGTAGAGCTCTGCCCAGCACGCGAGGAGCATTAGGCATTTTGGGGCTTGAGAAAAATCTTTCTAAAGATCCTCCGTTGTTCCCACTTTATTGGTGGGGACATGTGAATTTAGAAAGTGGCTTCCCCAAAGACACAGAGCTCATGAGCTAAGATTTGAAGCCAGCTGGTGTGCTTCCCAGTCCATACCCCTACCCACCACGCAGCCGGAATCCTGAGTGTGGCCCCTCGGGGTCTGCTCCCCACCAGGCTGCCCGGGTAAGCAACAGGTGGGATGCTGGGGCCGGTCTCACCTGATGTTCCCCAGCGTAGCGATGAGAAGGCCCAAGGCCAGCCCGTGGGCCAGCGCCGGCTGCAGCCGCCCTGTGTCCTGTCCATTCTCAATGACCGACAGGCAGCCGATGAAGATGAAGAGGGCAGAGCCCAGAAGTTCCACCAGACAGGGCTGCACGAAGCGCTCGTACCAGGCCCCACGCCACCAGCGCCCCACGCTGGGCTCCTTCCCTTTGCTACTACTGCACTCCAGGGTGCACACAGAGATATCTGCCTGCAGCGGGAGGAAGAGAAGGGTGGACATGGTCAAGGAGCCCAGAACGAACTCCCCAGCCTCCCCCTCAACCTGGAATAATTCCTTAAACCCCCCGGGTGCCAGGCTGGAGCCGAGGCAGCAAGGGCGCTCACCTGGCTGGACATCATGGCTGAGGTGCAGGCGCGGCTCTGCCTGCACTGGCCGGGAACCCACACCTGCTACCCCCACGCGCTTATCTCTGGCCAAGGCTTTTAAAGGGCGCAAAGGCTCACCGGAAAGTCCTGAGAAAGCAATAAAGCCTAGTGGGAGGTGGCCCTGAGGCCCAGAAGGGAAACATTTTTTTTTTTTTATCTCAATTGGGCAGGGCAGCCGGGTAGTCAAGGACGGCTGAGCTTTCTGCCAACTAGTGGAAAAGGCACTGGCTGAGCAGCATCCCTAGGGAGCACTCCCAGTCTCCCCAGCAGGAGATTCACAGGCCCCCTACTCCCCTATGGCCTCCAACAGTGTCCAAATCCCAGGGCCCCACTGGCTTGGGACTGAGCATGAGACATGATGGCAAACTCATCTCCAGGGATTTTTCCACGCATTCCCACAGACACGGCCTGCTATGTAGACCACTGCCCCCACCTTCACCACCCCCACTCCACCCCCGCCAGCCTGACTGGGACTTTGTCCACAGGAGGACCGAGCACTGAGAGGCGCAGAGGCAATGTGGCGTGCTGATAAACCCATGGACTTTGGAAATATGCAGTCTGAATTTCAATTCCAGCACTACCGTCAGCCAACTGAGCAACCTCGAGCGGGTCGCATGCCCTCTCTGCACCTCCCAGCTCCAGGAGCTTCTCCACCATCAAGAGTGGATGATGGTGATAGTGCCAAGCACCCAGGTCCCTCCTGAGGCTTAAGAAGCTCGCGTGGTAAAGTGCTTATGACAGTAACAGGCACATAAGTGCAAGGCCAGGCTCTGCTAATGTAGAACATGTGTTTATGGGTAATGTTTCTGTTATGCACTTTCTAGGCGCCAGACACTGGACTAAGGACCTTATACTATGATCCATCTAGACCCCACAGCAATGCTATAAGGCAGGCTCTGTTGTCACAGCCACTTTATAGAGGAAGTAGAGGTTCAGAAAGGGTGAAATTGCCCAACATCACACAGCTTTTGTGATTGCAAAAGGGTAGGTTTAGTTACAAAAGGACAAATACTGTGTGATTCCACTTATTTTTGTACCTAGAGACATCCAACAAGTAGAAGGAAGGTGGGAAGAGGAAAGAATGGGAATTAATATTTAATGGTACAGAGTTTGGACTCAGGAAGAGGACAAAGTTCTGGAGATGGAGGGGGTGGTGCCATTTGAACTGTACACTTAAAATGGTTAACATGGTAGATGTTCTGTGTGCTTTCTCACAGCTAGAAAAGAAACGTGTGGGTTAAACCACTATCTCCTACTGCCTCTCTAAGATGGATACATGGGTGTGTGGGCAGGTAGAGGGCATGGTGGAAGAGAGGAAATGATCAGCAAATGGATAGAGATGGATGAATGAATAAGAATATGGAAGGGAGCGGAGAAGGGAGGTTTTCCTGTGAGCCAGTAACAGTTCTGAACGCTGGTTGGAAAGACAGCAGTAAACAAGATAGGTGAAGATTCTGTTCTGTGCTCATAACTATTATGTGAGCATTTATAGATATAGACTTAATGCCCAGGATAAGGGAATTTTAATGGTAATTTGACCATACATTGATTACACGCTGTACAGCTGACTCTTGTGCTAAGCACTCACTCTGCATATATTCACAAGCCTCTATGATAAGTCCAATTGTTCCTTATCCCCATCTGCAGAAGATAAAAAATGAGGCACAAAGATGTTAAAGAACTTAGCCAAGCTTGCGCAGATAAAAGTATCCACCTCAGGACAGAAGCAGCCACATGCTGACGGGGGCTTGACAGTCTGCTGGCAGCTCTGTTCATAAAGAGGCCAGAGAGCCCCTCCCCTGGACAGCTGCCCATCTCGGGAGGCTCAGGGTCTGCTGCTCGCTTCTCTTCAGATCTGTTCTCTCCGGCCTGCACCCCGCAGCACATCGACACAACGACACAACGTCCTCAAGCCCTTCCTCCCACATCCCTGAACATGCGTGGGAGACCCTTATCCAGCCTTCCACCTCCCCTTCTCCCTCATTCTTAGCCACATGCTGCTTCTAGAGTCTTTCTCTACTGTTTTCACCCAGGCCTTCACCAGGCCTTGCTTTGTCTCTTAAAAAAATATCAAGTATGCATTATACACCTGCCAGGTGCTATCTTAATATCTATAGTCACCTGTTACTTTCCCCAAGTCACCAGCAGGAAGTCCCAGCTGGAATTACTCCACTAATTCCTCATCTGGTCTTCTTGCCTCACCCAATTTTAATCTTTTTCCATAATATTGGCAGGGCCAGTTGGCCCCTGGATCCAGGTGTGGGAGTCACATGATCAGGTTTCACCATCTTTGTTGCTGTCTGCTCTCTCTGCCTCAGTTTCCTCTTCTATAAAAATGGGTTAGCAGCGGTGCTCATGGCAGAGACGTGTGCAGATTAAGTGAACCAATGCGCTCACACTGTGCCTGGTTCAGAGCTGGCATCCAATAAACAGCAGCTCTGGTGAGGGTCTGGATGGGTCTGGGCAGGATGACTGGCATAGCAGCCCCCAAAATTCCAGTGGCTGAACAGGAGATACAATTACTCACAATTCACATCACACTGACCCTTCCTGATGGTGCAGTGGGTAGCGCAGCACTACCAAGCTAGCTGAAGCTGAGTTCGACTCCCACCCAGGGAGCTGACCCACGTGGCGCAGCAGACCTCTCCTGTCCTGCCCGCTGCTCCCCTCAGCAGTGGATTTCAATAGATCCACCTGTTCTGCTCTGTCTCTGGTGAATCCTCTCACCCACTGCACCTCTGGCCTGTACCCCAGTTCTGTATGCATAAATCTTTAAAAAATAAAAAATAATTATAACAGAACATTATATAAGTTTCAGGTATACAACATAATGATCTGACATTTGTATACAACACAAACACAATCATCACAGTGTGTACGTACCAATTCTTAGCAATTTTTCAAATTTCTGACTCAATTCTGTTGCCCATGGCCCCCAGACTATCCTTGACAGCCTCATGGCTTAGTTACTTTATAACTGGAAATTTGTACCGCTTGATCCCATTCCCCATTTTGTCACCTCCCAACTCCCCCACCCACTGTGCCCTCTCCCCACTGGTAACCACCAATCTGTTCTCTGTATCTATGGATTTGTTTTATTTTCTTTGTAGATTCCACATCTAAGTGAAATCCAGTTTGTCTTTTTCTGCATGACTAACTTCACTTAGCATAAAACACTGAAGGCCATCCATCCATGTTGCCATGCATAGCAAGATCTCATTCTTTTTGACTGCTGATAATGTCTACTTTCAATGTCCTGAACACCCGTGGTTTTAGCAGAAGCTGGGTGTGTCTGTGTGTGTGTGTGGATACACAATCATGTGTGGATACACAAGCCTGTCCCAAGGGGATTTGCCATGTAACCAAGTTGTATAGTAGCTAAGGCATCCAAGTTTGTGCAATTACACTCTGTGATGCTCACACAGGATAAAATTACCTAATAATGCATTGCTCAGAATATATCCCCAGCATTAAGCCATGAGCATCTGTCTACACCTCTTTTATGTATACATCTATTGATGGACATGTAGGTGGTTTCCATATCTTGGCGATTGTGAATAACTTTACAATGAACATAGGTGTGCCTACATCTGCTTGAATTAGTGTTTTAATTTTTGTCAATTATATGCCTACAAGTGAAATTGCTAGATAAGGTTTTTTTGTTTTTGGGTTTTTTTGTTTGTTTGTTTTTTGAGGAAGCCTCATTACTGTCTTTCCTAGAGCTATGCCAATTCACCTTCCCACCAAGAGTATCCAAGGGTCCTTTTCTCCACATTCTCACCAACATTTCTACTTCTTGTGTTTTTGATACAGTCATTGTGACAAGTGTGAGGTGATACCTCACTGTGGCTTTGTACTACATTTCTGATAATTTGAGATATTGAACGTCTTTTCTTATGCTCCTTAGCCTTCTGTATGTTAACCTTGGGAAAGGTCTCTTCAGATCCTCTGCCCATTTCTAATTAATTGGTTGCCTTCTATGTTATGACTTTGGATATGAACCACTTATCTGAATGTGACTTGCACGTATCTCCTCCCATGGAGTAAGCTGCCTTTCTGTTTTATTGATAATGTCTATTACCTTCAGTGTCAACATCCCATAGTCTTACCCACTCAATGAACAGTCTTTTTCATTGAAACTACTCCATAATTCTGGTGAAATCTTACTCCTCCTTCAAGTCCCAGCAAAAATATAATATTTTTAAAGGGATGAGAGAAAACATTATTGAAAACTGTAAATCACATGTACTGATAGCAATTGGGTGAACCTAAAAAGAGAAAGAACTCAAACACGAAAGAGCACGTACGTGGCAATATAAAGTTAAAAAACAAACAAAGCTGAACATGCTATTTGCTTTGGGGCGGGGAACATGAAGATCCCAGTTATTTCTCCTTCTATTTCTTAACCTAGTTTCTGGCTACATGGGTGAGTTCACTTGGTGAAAAAATCCATTCAGCTGTTACAATTTGTGCATTTTTCTGCATTTAGCTCTGCTTCAGTTAAAAAATAAAAATAAGACCAGTCTTTTCTGAAGAAGTTAACTTCTACACATAATGTCAACAGGACATTTTGCTAGGAATTTACGGTGCCTGAGAAGAGAACCCTGAATTCAATCTCCATGTTGTCAATTGAAACATTTTATCAACATAAAATATAAATATACACACACTTAGAAATTGCCTTTAAAAATTAAAAGGCAGCCTTCCCTGGCGGCGCAGGTGGTTAAAGAGCAAGCTAGCCGCGGCTGCTAAGTATGAGTTCGATCCCCGGCCCCAGAAGTGACCCACATAGCCAGCAGACCTCTCCTGTCTCACCCGCTGCTCCCCTCAGCAGTGTACTTTGTCAGTCTGCCTGTTCTGCTCCCCACTCTGTCTCTGGTGAATCCTCTCACTGTCCTTGCACCTCTGGCCTGTACCCCAGTTCTGGATGCATAAATAGATGAATCTTTAAAAAAAAAAACAAAACTCAAAAGGCTTTATATTCTGCCCCTTTTTACTCTAGTAACTGAAACTGTCATGGATAACGTAAAGGTTAATGTTGGCAAGCCTCACCCCAGGCCTCAGGCTG